ACTGAATAACCTCCCACTGATTATGGCTTGTCTAAAAAACATGATAAAATATTCTAATTCCATACAATAGCATCATAATATAAATTCACAATCAATACATGCTATGTTACATTTAATAACGGAATTAAAATAAAAAATAAGTAATCATGCTATTCTAATTACAACATATTAGAAATTCTAGGCAAAAAATAACAATATTCTGTAATTAATATTCAGATTATGCCATAACAGAAAGTATATCATTTTTGAAATTTTTTGGTATTTTCTGAAATTTTAAATAATTAATAAACACACATGAAATCATAAATAAATATTACAGAATCTGGAAAAATGCAACAACCATACCAGTAAATAGTAGACCATAACAGTAGTCTACAATAAAAAATTCAGCCCCAGAAACTTAATCATGCAACACTAGATGCATTTTAAAGCAGAAATAATGAATTATTATTTCAGGAAAAATATTTTTTATTTTCATAAAATTTTGAAAATTTTCCAAAAGATTGAAAATTTAATTCTGAGTTTAACAGTACCAACCACGCTTAAAACAAAGCTATAACGAATTACTTATGACCATTTAACGCAATTCTGGATTTAAAAAAAAAAACAAACAGACCCTTAACATCAGCAGCCAAGCCGGCGGAGAAAAAACGGCGCTACTCAGCGCGCGGCTCAGAGGCGGCTCAGCACATGGTGTGCGTGCGTGGCGCGCGCACGCGTGGACAGCGCTGCTGACGTGCGCGTGATGGCGCGTGGAGGCGCGTCGGAAGCGCATTTGGCGCGTGTCAGCACGTGAAAGCCGCTTACGGCGTTAGGTGGCGCGTGAGGCCCACGCGCCGCCTTCCAGGGTGTTTTTTGGTCTAATTTTGGTACTGTCGGACTCCATTTTTTAAAATAAATACATTGATGGCATTAAAAATGACATTTAATGAACATAAAAATGAGGCATTTTATGTTCTTAATCTAATGAGAGTGGACATATTCCTTCTTTATTAATATTCATGCATATATCATGTATATATATTTATATAAAAATATACACATATTTTAATGCATAAAAATAAGTACGAAAATACCCATATTGGCTCTGATACTAATGTAAATCAAAGTATTATAACGCAGCGGATAAAATATCAGAATCATACATTTTTAGCCAAGAATCTCGTGGGTAAATCACGTGCTTCTAAAATGCGAACAACAAATCCAGCAGTGGAGTGATACTATAATATGAGTATCACCCACATAAGTCACAGTGCAGAGGCTGGATTGTTCTCATATGGGAGAGAGTGAGAGAGAGAGTCTGCGAAAAAAAGTTATGAGTAAAAACCACATAACGTATCTGATATCGATATTCTTCCCATCATATCAGATGTATATAATCAAATATATAACAACCAATATCTATCCATCCATCTATCCACATATATTGATATAATAGATATAGATATCCTGAATGGTTATCCAAATAAGTTTTGAATTCAAATTCAAAACTTACATAGATAAGGTTCAAAAGGTTCAATTTCAAAAGATTCAAAAGGTCATACCGCATTGACTCCCAATTTCTAACAAGAATCAAATTCTTTGTTTCAAACAAATCCAGCAGTGGAGTGATACTATAATATGAGTATCACCCACATAAGTCACAGTGCAGAGGCTGGATTGTTCTCATATGGGAGAGAGTGAGAGAGAGAGTCTGCGAAAAAAAGTTATGAGTAAAAACCACATAACGTATCTGATATCGATATTCTTCCCATCATATCAGATGTATATAATCAAATATATAACAACCAATATCTATCTATCCATCTATCCATATATATTGATATAATAGATATAGATATCCTGAATGGTTATCCAAATAAGTTTTGAATTCAAATTCAAAACTTACATGGATAAGGTTCAAACGGTTCAATTTCAAAAGATTCAAAGGGTCATACCGCATTGGCTCCCAATTTCTAACAAGAATCAAATTCTTTGTTTCACTTTTCTCGTTTATTTTATTTTTAAATTATTTATCTATTGTGTAAATTTTCCCCCATACTAGTTGATAAAATGAATTTGATGAAATAGGACAGGACAGAATAAAATAGAACATAAGATTTTTAGTTCACATCACAAAATCAGTAATGATTTTAATAAATTTTTAGATATGAAGAGAAAGATAATGATGATCTATTTAAAAGTTCGTTGGCCAGAATGTTAAAATAAATGAACTTGACATTGAGCGACCACCTGAAATGGGTCGGATAAAAACTTGACATAGACTTTGAGTTAAGTACCATGTGCAGTAATTGTATCCAAATTTTCCTCACACAAAAACCGAAGTATCATGTTTATGCAAACAGAAACTATTGAGGTTTTTCTGATTTGATTTAAACATAATCTTTCATGGAAAATAAAAATGAAGGGACATATAACCGTATTCGCTTTAAGATATTGTTAGTTGATATGTTGAGAGAAAAGTTGTGGGAAGTAGTGGTTAATGTTGTGAATTAAAGTACAAATTATCTATCTCATTCTTTATTTTGTTATGTCTCATTTTTATCTCACATTACTCATGTCATTAAAATTAATAATTAAAAAAATATGAAACAAAATATAAGACAAATGATCTGATGTTGCAAATTAAGGGTTTTAAAGTGGATGATGTAGTAGGATCACACAATTTCCCTCCAAATATATATATATATATATATATCACACAATAATGTATATAAACATTATTAATACTCATTCTCTCTCTCTCTAGAAATCTTAGTGGTTTAAGATTTTATAAGATTTCAAATTAAACATCAAAATGACACTTGATTTCACTAGAGCTTTAAAATGTTAAGACCTTCAACACAAGATAACTTAATGCTGTTTTTGGTTGAAAGTTTGGGGAAAGATTTGGAAAGGAAATGAGAAAATGTGTGTGAAATTAGGTGAAATGTAAGTATGTTTTATTCACATTTCACCTACATTTTTTATTTTTATTTTCTAAATCTCTCTTTAAATCCTCCAATTAAACACAGTATAAGTGATCTAATGATTGAGATATGTAAAATATAAAAAAATATCAACAAAAAAAAATGCAAAAGAGAAAAGAAAAGAAACCTTAGCGTATGGAAGCCCTAACTCCACTCTGGGACACTGCCCTACTCTTTTAAGGAAAGTTACCCACTGTCCTCACATGGCCCATGTATCCATTTTCAAGTACCCACCAAAAACATCCATCCCTACCCATTACCCCCATTTTTTGCCCCGGACCACTCCACTATGTATTTATTGACCATCTTACCCTTGCCATATATATGTGATGAAGTTCCATTATGGGTCTTTTTAGTAATTTCACACCCAAAAAGGTGGAGAAAAAAAAAGGCAATATGGAAGCTGCAACATAGCTGTGTGCGTAGAGATTGTTAGAATCTCAGAAAGAGGCTCCAACTAGCACATGGTCTCATGCTAGTTCATCTTCTGTGAGGTCAGCACATGTATTTTTTTTTTTTTGGTTGAACAGAGGTCAGTGCATGTTAATTATCATCGTGGGACCTTTTTTTTTTTTTTTTTTTTTTTTTTTTTTTTTTTTTTTTTAACCTAAGGTACATATTATTATTCACTTTGCTTGGTTTGAATTTTTTAAAAATATTTTTCAAAAAATTATACTTTCTTATTTTTACGGTTTTTTTTTTGTTTTTATTGAATTTTTTTTAATATTTTAAGTAATTTTTTTAATTTTTAAACACACCTAACATAAATACATTTAAAAAATATAATTTTCATGAAAAAATCTTTAAAAAATTCACTAAATATCAAAAATATATAAAAAATAAAAATTCAATATATTTTTATATTTTTGTATATTTATTAATTTTTTAAAATATTTTTTTACAAATATTTTACTTTTTAGATACATCTAAATAAGGTGCATCTAAAAAAGTTTAAAAAATGCTTAAAATTTTAAAAATATTCACGAAAAATAAAAAATTTAATTTTCAAAAAACTGAATTCAGAAAACTGAAATCAAACATACTAATTAATTTTTGTGAAATTTATCCTCTGACATAAGATCTTTTGAATATATTTATTAAGAATAGATGGTTTGTTGAAGTTGTGAGTTAAAAATATAACTTTAATTCAACAATAATGTTAGAGGGCCATAATTTTTGTGGCCACAATGGCTCAAAACTGTCAAAACGACGTCGTTTTGGCATGTTTTGCACCCAAAACAACGTCGTTTTGACAGTTTTGAGCCATTGTGGTCACAAAAATTGTGGCCCTCAAACATTTTCCTTAATTCAATGTATTTTTAAAAACACAATTTACTGTGAATTTGAAGCCTTAAAATAATATTAGTCTAAGAAATAAATTCAAAATTTGAGTTTGCAAAATGTGAATTAAAATTTGTCGAATTTAGTTAAATAGTGTTTGGGCCCGTACACCATTTGTACCATCCCCTGTTGGTCCTCAAGTCATCTTTGTCACTTTAACACAATCCTTGATAGATTACTGCAAAGGACATTTTTAATTTTTATTTAAGTGTTGGTTCAAATTTAATTTGAATGAAAAATTGATTGAATAATAGGTCAAATTCTTCTTCACTCCTTGACTCGAATTCATATCAAATTGAATTTTATCTAATTTTTACTCGAATGAAAGGAAACTCGAATGATCAAATACTGTATTTACTAAGTTGCCAATCTTGAGATATGATGAGAATTGTAAAAAGAATTTAAGTAAAAAATAATATTTTTTAATAAAATGGTTCACATCAAATTAAATTTTTACTCAAATATGAGTCATGTTTGGAGATGGTATAACAAAAACCTGGCTCTTCTCAACCTACAGATTTATAAATCACAGTTTTTGCTTGTTTGAATATGACCCTTGAATGTTTAGAAGGGGAGGAAAAAAAAAAAAAAACAGAAAAAAAAGAAAGAAAAGTGATCCATGAAAGATTGTAAGCGCATCAAACGTTGTTGGTAAACCAACCAAGCCAATGGGTCTGACGTTTGAAACTCTGTTCTCCAGAAGGGTACTATGGGAAATATATTAAAATAATCCATTAACGAGAATCATGAATGGACAGAGACTACACAGAGAGATTACAACCATGTCCACCAACCATAATAACTACCTTCCACAAACACCACAATCGACAAATCAAAAATCGAAAACATAAAACATAAAATAATAATACTACAACATTACATTACATACTCAGAAAAGAATACAAATTATAAAATGTTAATTAGGCTTGCTACATCAATTTTAAATTTAACCCAAGATTCAAATTCTGAGTACGTAACATCTCTGATAACAATAACAGTTAATGTTTGAGAGAGAGAAGTTCTTCAACAAAGAGCTTTAAGAAGTGGCCACCCAAAATGGCCCCCAACTTGCCATACCCTTGTTCCCACAACCACTTTCCTTGCACCTGCTCTGCCTTGGCAACTCTCCAATCTCAATTTCCCTCTTATGCCTTCAACCCATTTATCGTTGTCATCATCGTCATCGCCACCAGTTTCGTCGTCGTTGTCATCATCGTCGATGTCATAATATTCTTCTTTTGCTTTAGTTTCTCCAACACTTGCATGTTCTTCAACAACTCCTTCACCAACTTCCTCATTATAGACCTTTTCTTTTCCCTCAACCAACTCATTGTCACAATTCACACAACCCTCCTTCAACAAGCACAGCCTGAGCCGGCCATCAACACGTTCGGCCTGAAAGTAACCGTTGCAAGAAGCAACTGCCACAGCTTTTATAACTAACCGGCCACCTTCACGATGAGGCCGGACTCTGACACTGTCCGAGCCACTGATCGAAGTCAGGGGAGGTGGAAAACTGCCACTTCTAGTCAGTTTTTTACCCAATTCTCGTGATTTTGATTGTTGAATTGTGTTAGACCGGAGAGAATTCTCCGGCCAAACCGAAGAGAATTCATCACTGCTTTCGCTAATGTCACTACCGGTTTCGCTACCCAAGCTTTCAGTGCACATCTCTAAGCTTGTCTTGCTCAGTGTTGAAGAAGAGAGCTTAACAAGTGGGTGGACATACACTTCTTTCTCGTTCTCGGTCACTTCTTTGCAATTGTGAGGTTTGTTTGTGAGGGCTTGTATGAAGCTCCAACCACCCATTTCACCATTGTTGTTGCTTTTGCTGTCACAATCAACACAACCATTGTTGTCTTTGTTGTTGTTTTCTTCATTATGAGAGCTCTCTTGGTGTTCTTGTTGTCGGGGCGCAAAAAGGCTTTGAGGCCATGGAAATGATTTGGGTGGATCCAATTTGTGCCTCAGAGCAGGTGGTTCAATGAGCCGAGGCTCGAGACACGATTGCAATCCGTGACACACAATTGAGGACATATTGTCTGTTATCTGTGAATGAGATGTACAGAAAACAGAACAGAAACAGGGAAAAATACAGAGCAGAAACGAGGGAAAACAGAGAAAATTGGTTTACTACAGTAAAATGCAAGAATTATGGATTTTTAACAGATCATATGTAAGTGCTGAAGGTGAAGACGAGTTTTTGAGAAAATCCCATGTTTTGGTTTGTGAGGAAATGGTGACTTAAGTTGGAGAGAGAGAGAGAGAACATGAAAGAGTAGTGAAAGGGGCCAAGGTTAATTTATAGGAGCTGAAACGTGATTCCACTGTGTAAACTGAGGTGGGCACTTTCGCCACTTGAATGCTTCAGCTTTTACTCTGCACGCATTATTTTATGATGAACAAAAAGAAAACAAGGAAAAAGCTGAATAATTCAGTAAAAGAAATAAATAACTTGGAATTTTAAAAAAAATGGGGTTTTTTTTTCGCCTTTCTAATTACAGTACTTGAAGCGTTTGTTAGAATAGCTTAATTTGATTGGTTCATTTGGGATATACCTAGAATGTGCCTAAAAATTTAGGAAAATACTCCACAAACAAAAAAATTTATACACAATGACATTTTTCTAATTCTGGCCCACAATCACATAAGGCCACATCATCTGTATGATTTTTTTTAATAAAAAATTTGTTTGTCTAGCATGAAAAAAGTAATGTATAATTCAAATTTAACACTTGTATGATAGAATCTACGCCTAAAATGAATTTAAACTATAAATTAATTTATTGAGTAAATTTCTAAATACAAATTCTAAATGTGTAGCATTCCTCTACTAAAAATGATTTCCATCAAGAAGCTTTCCACAGCCAATCCCTTATCTTCCTCAAGTGAGCCAACCAAATGACCAGAAACAAGTGACCTCTTCTGATATTTGTTAATTGGTTTTGCTTTTCCTCTACCTAATCGGGAGAATTTTTTGGGTGCGGGGAGTAGTTACGTGGTACTTTCTTTGACTGTTATTAACTTAATAGTAAGATTCATTACTGTTAAGGATCATATGTATTTGTAATTGGTAGAAGGTACTGCATAATAATACTAGGTGATATCCTGACTGTAGAAACTTACAATAACTTTTCCCTAATTACAATTTTGCACTCTCAGTGCCTTATTTTGCATTAGACAATTAAACCTAGGTTCACTAATCCTAGGGTCGAAGCCTAGGTTGATTTGTCTCTGATAGACCAATTAAACATCAATCAACCAAATAGAAGAATGTTTACCTGAGAAATAGCTGCAATTAACCATCAAACAATGCTTTGCCTTATTTGATACATGTAACTTGTAGATGAGTAGATGATTGTATTTTCAGAAATTCTAAAAACCCTATTTTCATCTTTTTTTTCTACAAAAAAATGCAATAAAAAAATCCAACGGATTTAAAACTTATTTTTCAGTAAATCTAACCTACAGAGGTGGGTCTGATGTAATCTTGCTTTGGAAGAATTTTGCATGTAAAAAGAAATGCACAAAAACCCTTGTCAGCAAATGACCAAATTCCTCTTCTTTATCTAAAATTTACATCTGACATACAAATTATTTAATCAAATACCAAATTAATGATGTGGAAAACACCAAGCAACAATGATATTATTAATTGCATTTGATATCAACAAATTTTCCGGTACCTTTTCTGACCCGACCGACAAAATGGTAAGAACGCATTAGCAACCACAGAATTAAGTAAACAAACAACCAAGTAAGGACCCATTAGCAGACATAGAATTAAGTAAACAAACAACCAACTTTTTAAATTTATTTGGAGGCAAGTGGAGATTCTTCATGTTATATTATAATTAAAAACCTTGCTTTGAACAACTAATAAATTCCATAATTGTAATAGAATTTCTGTTTGTAAATAAAGAAACCAAACGTCTCACTCAGCTTTTGTAGCTCTAGACCCTCCCATTGGTCAATCTTTTTGGCTCAACTGAGAAAACAAAAATTTTACAGAAAATAGAAGCCCTGATATAAAATTTCTTTCTAAGTTCTCTGTTAGTAATTAAATATTTTTTAAGTTGCATTGTCTAAAGAAACATACTCAGGCACTTGACACCGCAGCAATCAAAATCCCTTTCTATGGGATAAGAAGAAAGATGAGATTCCCACAGGCTCATTAACCAATGAAAACCCACTATTGTTAGCAACGGAACACATAAATCAAATAAAGAATTGAATAAAATATTTTCTTTTTAGTTAAGTGGTTAATTTTATAAAATATATGGATATAGATATAAATACGATCCACTTTAATGAAGCGACACCCAAGCCAAAAGACTCAAACGAAACGGAACAATACACCTAACCTAATAAGATTACTCTCACACAATATGAGAGCCTAGGCGAAACTAACACACTCTTAAGCAAATCAAGCTAAAAAACAGCCAAAACAAGGCAAGTGGATAGGAACCATCCATTACCCAAGACAAATATGCAGAGCCACACATCCACCAGAAGCCTTCCACAGCGGCTTGTGTTGACACTCCAGTTTCATAAAGTAACGAGCCACGCACAGAGAGTAACTATATGACATCACCCAAAAAGGACTTCTAAACGGACTTATGTCAAACACTAGCCACAATCAGCCATCCAAATAGGAAGAAAGTAAATTGAACCAAAACATTCGGCATCGACATAGTAACTTCATGAGCGTCTGTCTGTGTTCCATTATGTATTTGATTTTTGTGATCCCATAACCTTATGAATATTTGTATTTAGTTTCTATGTTTCTTGTTAGATATATATGAAACAACCCAGTGCAAAGCACTCTCCTCAATTCTAATGTTGTGTTTGGTTGGAGGATTTGGGGAGGGATTTGGAAAGGGAAAGGGTGTGTGAAACTAGGTGAAATTTAGACATGTTTTATTCATATTTCACCTACCTTTTCCATTTCCCTTTCCAAATCCCTCCTCAAATTCTCTAACCAAACACAGCATAAGTGTTTCTTTTGTTTGTGTTTTTTTGGGTTATTGTATGTACTATTTAAGTCCACTTGTTCTCTAAACAAGTTTTCATTAAGCCAAGACAATTATGAGATTTACAGAGTAAATAGCACTCTCCCAATTTGGACTAGACACTATCAACACTGACAATAAATATTGAAGCGTGTTTGATCGCAACATATCATATGTATACTAACTGCAACAGCTGCGAGTCTTAATTTTTGGATAAACCATTTAGCCCTTGTGGGTTTTTTGTTTTTTGTTTTTTCGAAGTCACATAGATATTGGTTAGTTATTACAAAATTCCTAACAATCTCCTTTGTTTTCTATTCCAAATTACCCTCAAGTATATAGCAATACTTATTGTGTGGCAGAGAGTTTTGGGATATGGGAACAAGAGAGAATGAAAATAGAGAATTACATGTTGTCCCTTCGAGTTGTCTCACCATTTTTATAAGATAGTGCAGAGACTCATCATATAACAGAGAAATAGTTGCATCGCAGTTAAGAATTTAAATTGTCTAACTTGTAGTCACTATAAAAGAATTACTTGCTATTTTGGGTAACCAACAGCCATGTGGGTTTACTCCCGTGACCTTCACAATATGGTGAAGGCAAACTTCAGAGCAGATGGCTCCAATGTTCAGTTCATATGGATCTGATTGTTTCCAAGTAAAGAATAGAACATCTCTTCATACAATGTACATAGAAAACTTTTTATAAAAAGTTGACTTAGACCTACTCTGCAATCTTATCTGATTGTTCTTTTTTATATGTTGTTTCATTAATACCTAAATTGAACTTTCATGGTTGCAATAAAATCACCAATCAATCAACTGAACCACAATCCCAACCACTGAATTTGGCTCTATTTCAATGCTGAGGAAATGGACTAAAACAAAATTAAATTTCAAAATATGTATAGACATATGTATACATTGAACTAATGTCTTATTGATGAAGATGAAAGTTATTAGCCCTAGTAAGGTATCTACTCAATAATGTGGCCCAAATGCCTGTCTATCACGATAATGAAGAAAATTAAAGCCGCTACTAACCTTTGGGTGACAATTTTTGCACAGAAAACTTATCCAGAATGATATAACTAATATATACTTTCATCTACAAACCACAATAGTGATTATTTTGTAGACCACAAAAAGTCACATCAACATGTTTGTATAACATTACTCTACACGGATTCAAAGGACAAAAAGCCTAGTCTACTAGCACGGCTGCCAAGAATATATCTCTTCAAATCCCAACCATCAAAATTGCCCTCGCAATCCATTCTTTGATTCCCTGCTTTTGTTTTAAATTGGCCAATCAAAGCCTAATAAACTAGAAAAAAGCAGCACTGATTGTTTTCTCAAAATCATCTTCCCCGACTAGAAACCCTAAAGTTAAGTCAATACTTTTTTTCTATATCTTTAGTTAACAATATGTAATTAACTATTGATAAGTTGGCTTTATAGCCTTAAGTAGGAAGATAAGAGAATCCATCGTGGCATACACAAGACGCACTCTCATACCTTTTTTTTTACCATGTTCGTGCCGCATTTTTTTGTACCAATGTTCGCGCTTTCTTTTGACTAAGGAAAACTATGAGAAAAGCTCCCTGCATAAACTTTGCACACAAGTCAGCACACGAATGGTTGTTTCATATTTAATTACACAAAGCTAAAACATTATGTCAACAGACAAACTTAATGGACAATATATATAACAACATTGATTGGTGGTTAAAGTTCAACTTTAAATATAGTGAATAGACAATTCAATGGAAGAATATCAACTCACCGACATTATTAAAGTAAGCTATTAAATATTAACATTGCTATTACATGTAAAGCACACCCAACATCTGATCTCCATGCACAAGTAATAAACACAGGATATTTTTACAATATGTATATATATATATATAAGGAACAACGTCATTACAACAACTCACCTCCTTTTTGCACATAAAAAATGTGCTTATCTGGATACGTGGAGATTTTGGATTTTCTGGACATTTGTTAATTTCTTGTCTTCAAATGATCATCTAACCTCCGCTGTGCTAAATCTTGACATGGCTTGCCGTAGAATTTCACGAAGCTTTCTGGATTCTGAGTTGCCTCCAAGAAATCCTTTTGCATCACGTCTTCTAGTTCGAGTGCCAAGTGTCATGGACTGATAAATTTTGATGTTGCCCCTCACAAGAAAGCGCTAGCAGGCTGTGGTGATTGCTAGAAGCCTCCAGAACTCCTTAGAGAATGGCTACAAGAGGAGAGGCTAAAATAGAATACTCTAGAATTCTCTAGAACAATCAAGAGCATGGTAGAACTTATGCATAAGACTAGAAGCTTGTACATAATTCATGTATATTCTAGAATAGGTTTTTTGAGAGGATGATGGAAGGATCTAGAATCGTCTGCATCCATGTAGAACTAGAATACTTCTGGAATAGTCCATAAGATGTCCATAAGATAAAGGTGGAGGAAGTGTCTAGAACACTCTCCATCATACTAGGTCTAGAACATTCTTTGTAAACCTA